AAAAAAGATGAAATTTAAACAGTATTTATTATATGGAAATTCTTACTATTTAACATAGAAAAATAAATATAAAAAGATTATTTCTAATCGTATTATCTTGATTATATTGATATCTTATTTTTAAACACAAACATGGAAATATGTATATATAATTTACTAATATTTAACATATTTATTAATTAATAAATAATTGTAATAAAATAATCGAAAATATTTCTGAGTTTAAAGAGTGAAAATATTGTATTTTACATTTTGTTAGTCATCTAGTTATATCAAATTTTCAAATTAGATTATATAAAAGAAAAAATTTGAGCTTTAATTATCAAAAGTGAATTTTTCTTAATCTTAACTAATTACAAATACTTTTATTTTCAAAAGCAGATGTTAGAGTAAAGTAATTGTTTAGAATCTTTCACGAATACAAAGTATTATGAATGCAAAGTCAAGATTATTTTCTTCCGCTCTTATTTCCTGTTTCTTTCATTTGCTTATCTCTTCTCCCGACAAAAGTTAAAAATATAATTAACAATAAGTTGATCTTTTATATCAGCTAATTATGTTCAGTTTTTAATTCTTATTAAACAAATTTTTAACTCTAATTAGAAGACATTATTTAAGTTATCAAATTTGAAAAGATAATGGAAATTCTCCTTTACAATAGAGTGTAATTATATTAATTTATTTAAATATTTTAATAATATTTATTTACATTTTAGATTCTGTATATTCGTTAAAAATATTTGGCCAATGCTTAGGTTTTATTCTGGCTTCTATCTGCTTAAGATATTTTGAAAATCCTTCATGTAAGTATGAGTATGTGACATTATTAAATTTATTTCGCATTATAAATTAATAATTTTTTTTAAATTTATCTTCAGATGATCCCGGCTTTGATAATTATGATCCAAGATGGATAGGTGCTTGGTGGATGGGTTTTCTTGTTTTGGCTTTATTGTTATTAACTTTTTCCTTTCCCATGTTTTTATTTCCTAGTCGCTTAGCAGGTGGTAAAGTAATTATGCAAAATCAAATAATTCCTTCTACTATTACAAAGGTTAAAGGTAAGAATATTGCAAGAGCGATCGTTAAAAAGTTTATTAAAAATTCAAAATTTTAAAATAAATAAATTACAGAAATGTACCAAAGTCTGAAACGTTTATCAAAAAATCCTCTTTTGGTTTGTCATACTTTTAGTATGATATTTTATTTGATGGGAAGTTTTGGTTATTACATATTTATGCCAAAGTATATCGAAAGCCAATTTCAACAAAGTGTTTTCACTGCAATTTTTTTTGCAGGTAAGTTTTTCCCTCTTAATGTTATTTAACATAAAATACATGCCATTTCTGATTTATTCGAGATAAAAGAGAAATTACAAATACGAGAAATTTATTTGTAGGAAATAGAAGAAAAATACAAAATTCTCCAATTGATATTGATGAATTTCTTCGTTTCAGGATCAACCTCCATTTTATCTTATTTGGTAGGAATTCTGGGAGGATGGTACTTAATTTATAAATTTTATTCAAAACCAAGGAAATTTGTTAGATGTACGGCAATTATGCAAATATTTACACTTATTGGATTTATAATGTTAATGATTTTTGGCTGTCACAATATAAAAATATCAGGAATTTCTGAAAATCCATATGAGTATGTTAACTTATGTTTAAACAATTTTTAAATTATTTTTATTGTTTAATTTTGGAATTATTTAAATTTTAGTTCATTATTCAACGATTGTAATAAAGATTGTGAATGTGATAAAACTATATTTAAACCAATTTGTGATACAGATGGAATATCAACTTATTTTTCGCCCTGTTTTGCTGGCTGTAGTGGAATAAATAACACAATTTATCCTTTAGTAAGTTGATTTTAGTTTCGGTAAATAAATTTTGAATAATTATTTTAATGGTCTACATTGATATATCACAAAGCTTCGAAACTAAATCACTTTCAGTTCACTGAGAAAAGTAAATGAATTGTTTACTGTCTGTATCAATCACTTTCATCATCAATGCTATTTTTATACAGGTTTATACGAATTGCAAGTGTCTCTATGACGACAAACAACGTCTAGCACCTTCCAATGCAACAGATGGCTTTTGTTCTTCAAACTGTAATATGTTTTTAACATATATCATTATTTTAAGTTTAAGTATGATAATATCATCTACGGCACGTTTTGGAAATTCTTCAATAATGTCGAGGTAATTTCGCAAAATTCTATAATTATAACTTTCAATTATAATAAACACTTTTTTAATACATCACTTAAGCTTTTAAAATAATTTAAATGTAAATTTATCTTTTTTCTACGCAATTAAAAGCTTTTAAAATACAAAAAAAATTGTTTTTAAATTTCAGATGTATGGAACCAAAAGATAAAAGTTTAGCTGTTGTTACCGTAGAAACTGTTTTACCTTCCTTGGGTATGAATAATCAATAATAAAGTGTTCTAAAAATAATTTCTATACTTTACATAGTTTATTTTAATATTTACAGCTTTTATATTTTATCTGTTAATATTTGGATCTATAACCGATTCAACTTGTTTAATCTGGAAAGAAGAATGTAGTAGAGTCGGAAATTGTTGGTTCTACGATTTCGATAAGTTTCGCTATTATCTTCATGCAATATCAGCTTCATTAATATTAATTGGCGTAATTTTTGATCTTGCTGTTTATTTTATGAGCGAGAAAGGAGGATTTTATAACGTTAGTAATGATTTGCCTCCAGTCGACTTATCGAAACTTCCTATTGAGAACGAAGAGGAAGATGTAATATATTCCAAAATTCCGGAATACCAAAAGACAGCAGAATGGAAATGATCTAATTAACATAATTCCGAATTCATTTGTTGTATCTGATATATAATAAATCTTTAGAATTATTGTTTATTCATTTTTAATATAAACCAAATCATAGACAAGTGTTATTTACAGTTCACTTTCGACCCATTCAAAGAGAAATGTATGCAAGATTACAATAATTAACTCTGCTTTCTGTTTGTTTAATTACAATAAATTTATTAATTAATGTTTATTTTTAATTAAAATATACGTATCAATAATGACAAATTTTATTGATCAATGTAATTCGAATCAATGAATTATCATATCTCACATCTTCAATACGAGATATCACTTTAGATATTATTAGTTATAAATACTATCGATAGTTTTGGAAACTCCTCAATAAAATGTTTTAAGTTGTTATGGTTGCTTTCAAGATCAAATTTAATATAAAAAGTAAGAAATTTAGAGCGTGCTTAACTGTTGGGTCACTGCCAATAATAAGGTAATTTACCTTGAAAATTTTATTTTCAACTTACAATACGTCTCGTTTTCTATATTTATCATTTATAGAAGTTACAATATATTATACTTTCTATAAATAACGTGAAAACGCGCAATTTTATTTACATTAAATTTACATAAACATCGTAATATTTTATTTACATTGATGCATACCATTTTTATTTCATTCCAATTTCAGAATTAGTATGAAAAACTGACATTGTTTATTTTAAAATTTGAAATTAAAAATTGATTTAGAGATCATATTGTATAAATTCAATATAATAAGATATATTTTATATTACGGAAAAAGAAGAATTAATGTGATCTGAGCTTGAAGCTTTTGTTGTAATGGTGGCGTCGTTTGCTTGTTGTATACATATTTTTAATAAGATATATAAATATATATAATGTTTATTAAGCATGTAACCTAGATTTCGTCTTCCTTTTTCATCCATTCATCAGTGGCCGAGTAAATAAAACCACTAAACACTGGTAGTGGACCGCGGGTATACGCCTCATCAACGAGCTGCCACGTGGAGTTTTTCGGATTTCTTTATACTTCTAACACCTAAATAGGAGCAAGTTTCCCTTAAAAAGTCTCCTTAAGAGGCGCCTCCCTTAGCAGATCAACACGTTGCATTGTCGTATTCAGTCAAACCAAACCTTCATGCTGTATTGCTCTGGTTAAGACCAGATCTTCATCAAAGTTAGCAATATTAAAAATACTTTTGCATTTTGATTTCAAATTTCACAAATTCTCAGCAATAAAACACAGAGATAATGTTGATTAATAGCAAATTTCAAAGACATTACAAATACCTCATTTAATGTTTTAGACTATCATAACTTATCAGTTGGACTACTATTTAAAGATTAATTATTTTTTTAATCGTGATATACTTAACTTTAATAATACTTATTAATAAAAAATTTATATTAAGATGAACATATAAAGATTTTGCACAATGCGTCATTAGTTTGTGTCCTTACAAAACAAAAAAGAATTAGATTATCGTTTCAATAGCGATTTACTCTGAAATATAATCTTAAAGAAGAGTGTAATTAATGAAAATTGCTTAAGTTTCTTATAGTTTTATCTTAACCGTTATTTATTTTCCGTAATGATGACAAAAACGGTTTAGGATTTTTCATTAAACATCGTTTATTATTAAGATAACACATCTTTTGTTGATAGTAACAAATTGAATTTAACAAGTAAAAAAGCAGTAAGGTAGCGCGTACTTCAATTCAACAATTACAATGGATTAACGTTTCACATGCTTTCATTCTATCAATTCAAAGAGCGTAGGATTGACTTGTCCACCCTTTTGCTTCTTAAATATATTTATAATAATTCGATATTTTATAATTTGTTCAAATTTCACAATTATAATTATCAAAGAAAACTTTCAAACTAATAAATTCTTTAATAGAATCTAGAATTGAATAGAATAGAATAGAAAATAGAAATTACACAATAATTAATTATTGTTTAATTTCTATTTTAATAATGTAAATTATAATTACTGTTTTCTTCTTATTTTAACTATTAATATCAGATCAACATGTAGTAAGTTTTAAGAACTTTTCTGATAAATTTTTAAATGTTATATTATATTGTTCATATGAATCATATACATAAAAATAAGTTGTTTTATTCAGTTATTTCTCATTGTAAACAAACTTTTTCATTTTAATAGTGTCATTTATTATGGAGAAATAAGATAGAATTACTGTTATCGAGAACTTCCAGACTCTGAAAGAAAATCGAATCCGGTGTCTGATGTAATAATCTGTAGACGTATTCGTCTATAACATCTTTAGAAACAAAATTATCTATTTTTTCATATAAATTTTTCCAAAATAAATGTATAATATTTGTTATATTTAGTACTAAAAGAAATTTAAGAGAAGCTAAACTATTTAAAGATTTTAATAATCTATCAGAGTATATTTTTATATTTTTTGATATATTTTTTTTTTTATTTTGAAAAGTAAAATAAACGATATGCTAATAAATGGCAGCAAGAAACTATAAAAATCAAGAATGACAGGAATTCTCAAGATGAATATTTTCATCCGTCACTGATTTTCTTTCCATTTTATTCACGCAATTATTTGTAAACAAATTTGTTTGACTGATTGTTGCCGAAAGATTGTTTAACAACGTAAGATAATTAATTAATTTTTTTTTTGTTTCCTTGAAATATTTCTATATGTAGAAGCGTATATGTATTACTTTGTATAATAGCATAGACATGACTCAGAAAGCTTGCTATGTTAGTCATTTAATAACTAAATAATTATAAAATTTGTTAACAGATGTACTGTACTAGCCAAATGCCATAATTTACTTCTGTTTTATGTAATCACAACTTATATCCGTAATAATAAGATTTGCATTCTACAATCGTAAATAAATAATTTGAAGAATAAGATAACATTATACAGTTCTCTTGTTACTGATTTTCACTATTGAATACAAATTACTTCAAGTATTTTTGTGGCAATATTCTGTAATATAATAAAAGATTTTAACTAGATTATTTAAATTTTATTTTCAAATTTTACTAAAATTTGGCAAGCTTTTTGCTTCAACTATTGTTGTTTCAGTTTAACCGCGAAATATCGCTGAAAATGATACTCGTTTGATAACGTCACCTGTTAACAGATGGCGCAAGAGTAATTTTCATAAAATATTACCACTACAGTACTTTACATTCTTTCGGAATGATGCAACAAGAACAAAAAATTTCAATCAATAAAATCGTTTGCTTCTATGAAAAAATCACAAAAAAATTAATTAAAATTTGAATTTTCACAAATATATCCGTATGAAATATTCATATTACACTAATATGCATCACTAGGAGAGACATTAAAACTTTGATGTAAACATGGTGTAATATTCATTACCATGAAAGGAGTCATAGCAATTTCAAAATTTTATCCCATTTGCATGCATTGCAAACATATAAACTTGTTTTCTTCACATAAAATACGCATATTTTATTTTATTTTTTTAAATCTTAATATCAGATTCGTAATTAAAATGAGAAACTTAATATCAAATTTATAAAACTAAAAAAGTTAACCTTCTGTTATATTAAGAAAAAAACTATTCTTATCACTATTTAAATGAATTCAGGCCAAACCTAGTAAAGCCAGACATGATAATCGTGCAACGTAATTTAAATATTTAATATCAAACCGAAGAACATATTATGAAAAAATATTCTTAGAATAAAGATATAGTGTAGTTTAATGTGTAATATTATATAGTTCTAGATAGGAGTAATAACTCTTCATTAAACATTTATCCGGTAGAGAATAACACTTATAAATTAATTCAATACGGCCGTAATAATTTTATTTTAAGAAAATTTCTATTAATAAACTGTCTAATTAGTACATTTCAGTTTTATATGCACGTTTAAATATCATAACTTCTGTATATTTGTTTCTATTAAGGCTTGTGTATTTATATTAATTTGGATTACTTTAATTTATTAAAAAATAAAATTCTCATTGTGTTTTTTTTAATTAAAAAACATGAAGTGTAATAAATTTACAATGGATAAAAGATATTTTTATCAATATCCAGTCTTCTCGAGCTTTCAATTTTCTTATCGATTTTAGAGAAAAAGTTGATAGAAGGACATGAAGTTTTTGGTGGAATTGAATTTGAAGATGTACAGTGCCAAAATTTGTTTTTGTCCATTTATCGATTTTAAAATAAAAAATAATAATAATAAAATAATTAAAATCACAGTATAGCACCTGTATTGTATAAATGTTGAAGTTTGGTTTGAAAGGAACATAATCATTTGTACACAATACACATTACAATCATTCTTTAACCTTCATTAAAATAATTTCTAGTCTGTACTTTTATACAATACTCCCTTGTTAGACATTTCTCTTTATTCCAATCTTGTCTATTCACTCATTAAAGACTAGATCGGAAAATTCTTCTTATTTATAAACTAATAAATCTATTCTTCATATTATTAGTGATGAATTATGAGATTCAAGGTTTTATTCTGTATAATGAGATGACTTAAAACCTTGAAGCATAGAAATTATGAATGTACGAAGATTAAGAAGTTATAAAATTATATATTTTTAAATAAATATATATATTGATTTTTGTGGTTTTTTCCCCCTTCATTCTAATGGGACTTATTATAATAGATTATCGTTCCTTAAAATAATAATATTATTATTTAAAAAAAAGAAAAAAAAACAGTATGAACGGTTAAGAAATGTTTTCAAATAATACTAAAGTTAGGAAACTAAAATATGTTCAAATAAATCAACTGAATAAATATTTAGAAATCTAACAAATTACTTCATTTACAGTCAAACATTATAACAATTTTTGTGAGATTTTTTTAGAGACAAATTGACAACACATTTCAGAAATGTAAATATAATATACACTTTGACCATATTTACATAGATTTATGAAAGTTACAACGCGAATGATTTTTTTTCTGTATTACTTTTTTATAGCATGTTTTGAGCCGTTGTTATATGGCATATTTATATAAAGTTGAGCGAAGATTTGTCACTTAAATAATTTCTATACATAGAAGACACGGGGTACATTAATAGCACCTCGAAAATGGATCATAATCTACAAAACGAATAAAGAAAATGTCACTTTTTTTCCTTTATACACTCGTTTCAAATTGTGTACATTGGACATTGTTCATCGGTACTGTTTCTTCAGCATCGTCGGTTTCATCATCGTCTTCATTAAAATGAATAGATTTTGCTTTGATGCACACAGCTATATCAACACAGAATGCCACCATCATGATTACTGCCGTCACTCCATGGAAGACCATACGGAATTTGGCTGGATCGTATACTCGACACGCTCCTAGTTCTCCACAGTTATTCTCCCAGAATAGGCAGGCAGAATCTACAACAGCACCATAAATAATAGGGCAAGGCACATTACCTGTAAAGAAATTGCATTAAGAAATAAAGGAAACAAGGGAAAAAAGTATAAAGCTTTTCGAAACCAATGTTACCGACTAATGGATATAGCAGCGGAGAATAAAGTAATAATAACAAATGGTGCAACTTTTGAGGTAATCGAAAAAATGGCACAAGTGTCTAATTCTATTAAATTATGTATTATTTAATTTAGCTTTTTTTATGTTTTGAAGATTCGTACTATTATAGCAAAGTATTGTGCCATAGAAAAAAAATTGCACTCTTCTATCTTTTTAAATGACAAATCATAAACATGATCAAATTTTACATTTAACTTCCTTCTAATATATTTTATTCTATAAATAACTTTATTAAGATTTCATATACTATATATAAAATATAAATATGTATATAATTAATTGTTATTATTTTGTCTTTAATACTGAAATAATTCCAGTTTAATTATTCAATACGTTAAAAATGGTGCTATGTATTTATATAAAACTTTAAATTCTAAGAAAATAATATATAGGCCTAATGATGAATTTTATATAAAAATTTTAATGTTTTATTTAAAATTTTATCTATTTTTGTTATTTGTTCTAAAATTTTCATAAAACATAAAAAATTTTAAAGTAAAATAATACAACTTTTAAAACTTTTTCTCTTTGTTTCGATAGGCAAATACAAATTTAGAAAAACTTATCTATTTTCTCTTACGTAACAAGAATATTTTAAAAAGTAAAAGTTATATTCATTAAAGATTATCATTTTGCGAATTTAATTTTTACTTCTAACGCTGAATTATTAATATTCATTTATAATTCCTATCTCGTGTTTAAATTCCCCATTAAAAAATATATACTGTATATTATTTTGTTTCTATACACGAAAAAATTTGTGTTTAATTTCTTATTATATTTTAATTATACTTTAAATTAATCTCTAAATTATTTCTCAACAACTATAATAAAATTTTTCTTTAGTAATAATTTAATTAATCATTTTATATTTATCATAATTTATTTTTAAAAATTCCTCTTACTTTACAAAAAACTTGCTTTTTAATATTTTATAAATTAAAATTAAACTAATTAAAAACGTTAAAAATATTTTAAAAATTAACTTAAATTCTTCGAAGCATGAAAATATTTTTATTATTTTTTAAGATTAATATTAAATAAATTATAAAAACAATTAATAAAAAATCTTAATAAATTTTAACGATAATATCCCTAATTATAATATTTTTTTAAAGTTAAAAGAATTTAATTTAATTTAATTTAATTTTAAAATAAAAATAATTTTAAACCAAATGACGATTAAATTATAAATGTAGAAAGTATTTTGAATTTTTTTATTAAATGAAAGTAATATTTTCAAATGTGGTAGGCATTAATAATTTATAAATAGAGAAATTTCTTATTTATTCATTTAATATAAATACGAGATTTACATAATATTTTCTAAAGAATATTAAGTATAAAATATTGCATATTCTTATATATTTAATAACCTATCAGCATATTGACACGAAACTCGACATCAGTTTTGCACAAAGACGAAACCAAGCGTTAAAATTAAAAATAAAGTAAATATTTAACTTAAAATCAATAATAATAATAATAAATTATAAAGTTATTTATATTTCTTTTCTGCATGGAATATTATTAAGAATTACCACAGGAGTGATAACAAGTTGCAAAAACGAGTAGGATATAAAAATAAAATTTCAATTATGTAATTAATTTCTGAAGTATATAATTTTTTTTAAAATTTTTATATACTTTATTTAAATGTTAAAATTTCGAAACAAACTTATTAAGATCGTTGACATTATATACGGGACATTTTTATTCTTTCTAATCACGCTTTTTATGTTGTCAACGACTGTTTTATGTCTTTCTCCAGCTTTAAAACCACTCTACACATAATTCTCCTAAGCTAGATTTCTCACGATATGAGAGTATTTTTTTTATTTTATTTTTTAAACTGTAAAGTTTCTAGAGCTTCTAAAACCCAAGCTTCGATAAATTATGTATTGTGTACAGTACATCCCATACAAAAATAAAAAGAACGAACAGCATCGATGAAAGTTGTAAAAAAAAAACAGCCACCTACGTAATCGATAATGGAATGTTGACATGCATGATCAAATATTCCTATATGTTCTTTAAAAAAAAGATGTATTATATATATATATATATATATAAAGTAAATATAGAAATAAAAGTTCAATCAGAAATTCGTAGAGAGTGTCATCCGTGAAAATATTAGGAAAGAAATCAATCGAAAGGAGATTATTGAATGATAGAACACTTAGAGTAGGTTGAATGCTCTACTTAAGGATCAACGCTATGTTGAAGCTTTTGTAAAGATACAATAGCTTTCACTATGTTTCCGTTAGTAAAAAAAAATACATATAGGAAAACACATAGAGAAAAGAAATATAAGAAAAACATTCGATCTTATAATTTTTCTTTAACTTTATTTATAGAAAATAATAGAAAAAAATACCTGTTTATGATTAAATTGCTTCGAAAACATATTAAGGAAAACCGAAAGTAAATAATCTAATTGATAAATATCTTTATCCTTCAGACAGAAAATAAAAGTATTTTCATCTTAAAATACATTCTTGTTTTCTTATCTATCGTCTTCATTTTTGATCCTCTTCCTTCAAGTATTTTTCATTTAGAATTCTTAAATTGCTTATCCATTTCACGTTCCATAAGGTTAATATTATACTATCCGATCGAATTTATTTTATAATAATTTTTACTTACTTTTTAATTTATTAGATTTATAAATATATTTAAAATAAAAGTGATCATGATATGAAACAATAGAAAAATTTATTTTAAATTTAAAAAATAAATTATTATTTTAAAATAATGATGAGTCGTTTAATATGAATACCTTAAATTCATTCATTTTAAAGTAAATTTAGAAAATATTTTACGTAATAAAGTAGACGTAAATGCAAATTAATAAGTATAATTAATGTATTTGAATAATATTTATGATAATATTTCTATGAAATGATTTAGAATTTTAATAAATCGTCTTTACATTTAAAAAAATATTTATTATTATAAATAATAAGTATTTAAAAAGATTAAAGATATTTAATATTCTTAATGACATTTTAAACTAATTTTATTATTCACTTTTAGAAAATATTTCGATTCATTAATGAGAGTTTCGAGACGATTTTTTATAATTATTATTATTAATTATAATTATTAAGGAAATTTAATTATATTTAATTTTTATGTATTTAATGATTCTGTTAATTTTCTAGAAATAAACTTTGATTAAATCAATATACAAAATGCGTATGTTAGAGTGTACTTTGGAAGTATTGTAAAACAGGAAACTTGTAATTAAATAACTTGAAAATCAAAAACAATGAATAAGCAAGATAGAAAATAATTCAAATAAAAAAAAATTACTTGACGGTGACCAATATAATTTCGTTAATTTAACAATAAAAATAATAACGTGTTACACTTTACGATGTGTTCTATCACACTAAACAATAGAAATCACCAAGACATGCACAATATCTTTCTATCGATCAGATTACTCGAGCGACGAAAACAACTGGATGAAAATTTTTAGTTATTTTTCTACGTAGATAACAAAAATTAAAACAAGATCCGCACGTTATTGAGTCCGAAAATGGTTAATGTAGCCATGGAATATTGATATTTGTCACTTTAAACACGAATCGATAAAAGACACGTCGAACTTCGTCTATTATTCACGAATATCTACGAGTTGTAGAATGAAATTTATAAGTCAATTCCTATTTGTAATTTGTTTTTATTTTATTTTATTTTCATTCTACAACGAGACTTTGTGAATGTTTTAAAAGAATCTTTCTGCTAGAGAAAACAAATCAATTTGTCTTCTTCACTTTATCCTCATTAGTTCGTCTTACTTTCAATAAAAGAAATTGAAAACATTCTTCAGATTATTTTCTTTTAGTAAACGAAATTATTTTTAATTCTATAAAAACATTACCACATTTAACACTTGTTTTAGAATATTCTTAATATAAAAACACGTTTTTATTCTCTAGACAAATTTTTTTTCTGTTTTATTTCAAATGAATAAATGAACAGTATAAATATATTCCTCGCGATTTGTGATATCGATAAAATATATTTATTAAATTAACTATAAAATGCAAACGTTTTAAACTTTGTATTATTTATTTCACTGATTTCCTGAAACAAAATGAAATTTTAATATGATTTTTCTATTGAAAAGAGAGAAAAATTATTCTGAAAATAGAGTTTAATAATAAGACGAGTTCGTCAGAAAATTTATTTATAAATTTTTTTTTTTGTGAACTTCTCCTGGAATTACGATAATCAAAACAAATTTCATAATGTATTACACATTTTTTAAAAATTGAATACATGTTTTAAACATTAAATATCCTTAAAGCTTGCATTTTTCTGGCTGAAACCAGACCTGTTATAAGTGTGCACATCCTGTAATGATTGATCTTATCGTTTATTTGAGATATTATACTTGTTGGTTCAGCAACAATTGTCTTTATGAGTTAAACTTTGGCGAAACCTTCTAAAAAACCAGCAATATTGAGAAATAAGTTAAATACTTATCGTACAATATCATAAGCAGGGTAATCGGACTACTATTTAACTAACTCACCATTATTTTCTACATCATAAACTAAACATAAAATGCATTTAATACTTTATTGTAGCGTTATAATCAGCACATTAAAACATTTATAATTTAATTATTTACTATTATATTTTTTAAATTCTGTTACAGAAGACGAATTACTTTTCACCGAGTCGTATTTTAAATCCATTTAACGTCAAGCAGATGTATTGATATACTTTTTAAGCTCTGATACAGCTATAATTTTCTTCTTAGGTATATAAAAATCTTTCCCACACTGTTTGTCATTTATAGCCGTAAAACAGCGCAAGATAATATCTCAGATACTTTTATAAGATATACAATCAATCCGAAACGTGAGGCGAATACATTAATATGGGAAGCGAGACATTACTCTAAGAGAATTCAAATTTATAAATGTGATAAAAAAAAAGCTAACATCTTAAAAGGAAACTTAAATAAGGGATAATTTTATTATCTAATTATGTGATATTTGAAAATCGCACTGATGTTGAAAGTAGGTCGCACGGTTGAGCCATTAAAGGAATTTTGCTACTACCAAATAGAACCGTGCATGACAAACGAATATTAAAACTGCTCAACACATTACGGGATTTTACCAGATTATGTCAATAGTAATGAAATTATTACATTTACATATTTGTTTATTTACTTCTTAATGGACGATGTTCGATAGTGTTTATTTATTATCTTGTTTTATTTATTTTATTAAAAATCTATTTATTTAATTACCCTTTAAGTATGTGTATAGCAATTTTTTGTCAAAGGCTTCGTTATCGAAATTAATTTATATGGCTGTTAAAATTATTAAATTTTACTATTTTATTATTAAAATTTTAATTTAAAAAGTTCGCTATGTTTATTTCGAGGGAAAAATAATAATAATTTTAATACTGTAATTATGTATTAGTGATTTTATTATTGTATTTTATTAAGAAGTTATTTTCAAAAATGTTAAAAAATAAAGAAATTTTTTTTATTATAATTCCAATAATTTCTATAGTTAATTCCAATAAATAAATGAGATTGTCTCATTATTATTAACTTAGTTTCATTAACAAAATGAGTTAGTTTCAATATCGAAATTGATTAATCATTATAATAATTAAATCGTTTTAATAATAGATCTATTATATAAAACCGTATAAAATCCAATATAAAAAATACAATTGTATGTTCTTTAATTATCATAAAATAGTTATAACGTTATATACTTCAAAGTCATGTATTTTACGATCAATCTAAAGATAATTTGGACAGTGACTAAGATATCTTTTAACAGTCGATGCAATATTTTAATATGTAAAATAATTAATATGTTTATATTGTTTTCATTAGGAAAAGGGGTGTACACACACTTTTGTAGGTGAAAAACTGCTGTAATAAAGAATGATTCATTCATTCTTATTGAATAACTGATTCTAGGAAGTTTCAAATATATAAATAGAGATTATTGATCTTTTTTAGAAAAACGAAATGTTGTAATCATCCGGTGCGGTTTGCATCACTGACCTTCTGACACTCGATTTTATAATTAACAAAATATTGTGAAAAATAGTATATTTATATAATCTTTGTTTTCGATTCGTAAGAATTCAAAATATTAATTTCTTTTATTGGATTTTTACAATTTGAATAATGAGATAATAAAGAAGTCTACATAATGAAGAGAATGTTAACGCATCGCTTGCTGTCATAATTACATGTTTGAAAATTTTTGAAAATAAAAGGATATTTTTTTTTATTTAATATTATAATTAATCGTACAAAATGAAAGTTGTAATGTATACGTACCAAATAATCCGATGGCAAATGATATAAGTCCCAATGCCATAGCCTTGTCTTGAGGATCGACACATCTACAATCAATAAAAAATCGATGAAATATTTAATGATTTTTACATAAATTCGTCCGGAAAAAACTGATGTTAAATTTGCATTTAATATCTTTGAAGAAATGTTTCTATAAAACGTAAATGAAGAGATGCTATCTTAAGCTTGCTACTTTGTTTTTTTTTTTTTAACTTTCATATTTTTAATTTAAACAAAGTGAAAACTTATCTTTGCTGAGACGAACATAAATTATGAATTTTGATCTTAAATAGAATCATGTGACGTTATCTATTAAAAGTTAGTTTATACTAAAAACTTTATTATGAAGGAGGTTGGTGAAATGAATGTATTGAGCAACTCTTTAAAAAAAAAAAAAAGAGGAAAAAATTACAGTTTATAAGATAAGTTACCAATTAATTTTGTTACAAAATAACAAGTTAAGATAAAGATTTGTACTAATGAAAAATTATTGTCTTGTAATTAAGTAAATCTATATCAATTTTCTATGTGAGTGACCATGGCTTCATAGAACTGTTGAGAATTAGTACTTGATAATGATTTTGGCAACAAACCAAAGGCAAAGAAATTATTTGGACAAGATTTTGTTTCAGATCAAAATCAACCTTGACCTTATCGGTTACAGTTTAGAAATTAGATCTACTTTCATCTGGAATAGGAGATAAACATAATTCGACATATTCAATCTGTAATTTTTGATAGAGATAAACTATCGAAAGTTTTTTTGATTCAATGTTCAAAGAAAGATTATAAATCAGTAGACTACACTTTACCAATTTACAGATTTATATCTAAAAGTGTTCAGCCGAAAGCAACGTATGAGAAGCAAAAAGCGTGAGTGTGTCTAATTAACAGACATGTTTAAAGATTCTAACGATTACAGATAGGGAAAATGTAGACTTTCTTATAATTATAGAGGCAATTTTTGAATAATTAGTTACTATAATGAGTAAATAAAGTAATTATTTTATTAATGTATGCTATTTTTTATATTCTAAACTTTAAAAAGAAAAAAAAAACGTTGTTTGATCAACCAACCTCAACGTAAGAAGCATAGATCCGACTTCAGATGTGGAATGTATGAGAACAAATACAGAAAATATGATGATGTACCATATAAGGTTGTCACATTTTAAAGGACAAAAACCATTTGTGGCTGTGACATTTGGACCCAGGCAGTAACATTCTCCATAATAATACTGAAAATATAAAATTGATTGTTATTGGAAAATTATATAAAATAATATTTCTGATATTCATTTCTTTGAAATTTTAATTAACTTACTTGTTCGCTGCGAACACCTTTTACCGTTGTACAACCAGCTAAACAGGGAGATAAAAAAGTTACACCATCACTGGTACAAATCGGTGCAAATTCTCCAGACCTGCATTCACAAGTAACGTTGCAAGATATCTGCTCGTTTTTTATCGTAGAGCTAAAATTTCATTTAAAAAATATTAAGATTCTAAATCAAATTACGTTTCTTCGGCATCTAATTTTTATCTTTTTCTAAATTTAAATAGTCTGATGTTATAAATAAACTCTGTATGGGAAGCAGTTTTTAACAATGCTAAGTTTAGAAAGTGAGTCGAAAGAGGAATTAGTTGATTTTACTCAAAGAAAACCTTAAAATTTTATATTTAAAACGTTGACAGTTTTATTTCGCTTGTAAATTTTATTTAAATATAACTCAAATTTATAGAAAATTTTTTATAAAATATAAAATGAGAAAGATGCATACATACCTTTCAACATTCAGTCCAACATAGCTGTTAAGAGGGCAGCCCAACCACATCAATATAAACATGCCAATTGCATAAGCAAGAGCTGCTGCAGCTATCCACCTGGCTACGAATTGTGCATTTGGTTTGAATTTTCTCATAAAAGAACCACTAGCAAAGATTCCAACACCCATAACAAGTATTCCGGCCATGCCTTGAAATAAAATACATTTTTAAAACCATGATAAGAACACGCTATAATGTTTTTTAGCACACAAAAATATAAAAAGTTATATGTATAATTTTTCTGTTTTTCNTGCATTGAATATTATTAAGAATTACCACAGGAGTGATAACAAGTTGCAAAAACGAGTAGGATATAAAAATAAAATTTCAATTATGTAATTAATTTCTGAAGTATATAATTTTTTTTAAAATTTTTATATACTTTATTTAAATGTTAAAATTTCGAAACAAACTTATTAAGATCGTTGACATTATATACGGGACATTTTTATTCTTTCTAATCACGCTTTTTATGTTGTCAACGACTGTTTTATGTCTTTCTCCAGCTTTAAAACCACTCTACACATAATTCTCCTAAGCTAGATTTCTCACGATATGAGAGTATTTTTTTTATTTTATTTTTTAAACTGTAAAGTTTCTAGAGCTTCTAAAACCCAAGCTTCGATAAATTATGTATTGTGTACAGTACATCCCATACAAAAATAAAAAGAACGAACAGCATCGATGAAAGTTGTAAAAAAAAAACAGCCACCTACGTAATCGATAATGGAATGTTGACATGCATGATCAAATATTCCTATATGTTCTTTAAAAAAAAGATGTATTATATATATATATATATATATAAAGTAAATATAGAAATAAAAGTTCAATCAGAAATTCGTAGAGAGTGTCATCCGTGAAAATATTAGGAAAGAAATCAATCGAAAGGAGATTATTGAATGATAGAACACTTAGAGTAGGTTGAATGCTCTACTTAAGGATCAACGCTATGTTGAAGCTTTTGTAAAGATACAATAGCTTTCACTATGTTTCCGTTAGTAAAAAAAAATACATATAGGAAAACACATAGAGAAAAGAAATATAAGAAAAACATTCGATCTTATAATTTTTCTTTAACTTTATTTATAGAAAATAATAGAAAAAAATACCTGTTTATGATTAAATTGCTTCGAAAACATATTAAGGAAAACCGAAAGTAAATAATCTAATTGATAAATATCTTTATCCTTCAGACAGAAAATAAAAGTATTTTCATCTTAAAATACATTCTTGTTTTCTTATCTATCGTCTTCATTTTTGATCCTCTTCCTTCAAGTATTTTTCATTTAGAATTCTTAAATTGCTTATCCATTTCACGTTCCATAAGGTTAATATTATACTATCCGATCGAATTTATTTTATAATAATTTTTACTTACTTTTTAATTTATTAGATTTATAAATATATTTAAAATAAAAGTGATCATGATATGAAACAATAGAAAAATTTATTTTAAATTTAAAAAATAAATTATTATTTTAAAATAATGATGAGTCGTTTAATATGAATACCTTAAATTCATTCATTTTAAAGTAAATTTAGAAAATATTTTACGTAATAAAGTAGACGTAAATGCAAATTAATAAGTATAATTAATGTATTTGAATAATATTTATGATAATATTTCTATGAAATGATTTAGAATTTTAATAAATCGTCTTTACATTTAAAAAAATATTTATTATTATAAATAATAAGTATTTAAAAAGATTAAAGATATTTAATATTCTTAATGACATTTTAAACTAATTTTATTATTCACTTTTAGAAAATATTTCGATTCATTAATGAGAGTTTCGAGACGATTTTTTATAATTATTATTATTAATTATAATTATTAAGGAAATTTAATTATATTTAATTTTTATGTATTTAATGATTCTGTTAATTTTCTAGAAATAAACTTTGATTAAATCAATATACAAAATGCGTATGTTAGAGTGTACTTTGGAAGTATTGTAAAACAGGAAACTTGTAATTAAATAACTTGAAAATCAAAAACAATGAATAAGCAAGATAGAAAATAATTCAAATAAAAAAAAATTACTTGACGGTGACCAATATAATTTCGTTAATTTAACAATAAAAATAATAACGTGTTACACTTTACGATGTGTTCTATCACACTAAACAATAGAAATCACCAAGACATGCACAATATCTTTCTATCGATCAGATTACTCGAGCGACGAAAACAACTGGATGAAAATTTTTAGTTATTTTTCTACGTAGATAACAAAAATTAAAACAAGATCCGCACGTTATTGAGTCCGAAAATGGTTAATGTAGCCATGGAATATTGATATTTGTCACTTTAAACACGAATCGATAAAAGACACGTCGAACTTCGTCTATTATTCACGAATATCTACGAGTTGTAGAATGAAATTTATAAGTCAATTCCTATTTGTAATTTGTTTTTATTTTATTTTATTTTCATTCTACAACGAGACTTTGTGAATGTTTTAAAAGAATCTTTCTGCTAGAGAAAACAAATCAATTTGTCTTCTTCACTTTATCCTCATTAGTTCGTCTTACTTTCAATAAAAGAAATTGAAAACATTCTTCAGATTATTTTCTTTTAGTAAACTAAATTATTTTTAATTCTATAAAAACATTACCACATTTAACACTTGTTTTAGAATATTCTTAATATAAAAACACGTTTTTATTCTCTAGACAAATTTTTTTTCTGTTTTATTTCAAATGAATAAATGAACAGTATAAATATATTCCTCGCGATTTGTGATATCGATAAAATATATTTATTAAATTAACTATAAAATGCAAACGTTTTAAACTTTGTATTATTTATTTCACTGATTTCCTGAAACAAAATGAAATTTTAATATGATTTTTCTATTGAAAAGAGAGAAAAATTATTCTGAAAATAGAGTTTAATAATAAGACGAGTTCGTCAGAAAATTTATTTATAAATTTTTTTTTTTGTGAACTTCTCCTGGAATTACGATAATCAAAACAAATTTCATAATGTATTACACATTTTTTAAAAATTGAATACATGTTTTAAACATTAAATATCCTTAAAGCTTGCATTTTTCTGGCTGAAACCAGACCTGTTATAAGTGTGCACATCCTGTAATGATTGATCTTATCGTTTATTTGAGATATTATACTTGTTGGTTCAGCAACAATTGTCTTTATGAGTTAAACTTTGGCGAAACCTTCTAAAAAACCAGCAATATTGAGAAATAAGTTAAATACTTATCGTACAATATCATAAGCAGGGTAATCGGACTACTATTTAACTAACTCACCATTATTTTCTACATCATAAACTAAACATAAAATGCATTTAATACTTTATTGTAGCGTTATAATCAGCACATTAAAACATTTATAATTTAATTATTTACTATTATATTTTTTAAATTCTGTTACAGAAGACGAATTACTTTTCACCGAGTCGTATTTTAAATCCATTTAACGTCAAGCAGATGTATTGATATACTTTTTAAGCTCTGATACAGCTATAATTTTCTTCTTAGGTATATAAAAATCTTTCCCACACTGTTTGTCATTTATAGCCGTAAAACAGCGCAAGATAATATCTCAGATACTTTTATAAGATATACAATCAATCCGAAACGTGAGGCGAATACATTAATATGGGAAGCGAGACATTACTCTAAGAGAATTCAAATTTATAAATGTGATAAAAAAAGCTAACATCTTAAAAGGAAACTTAAATAAGGGATAATTTTATTATCTAATTATGTGATATTTGAAAATCGCACTGATGTTGAAAGTAGGTCGCACGGTTGAGCCATTAAAGGAATTTTGCTACTACCAAATAGAACCGTGCATGACAAACGAATATTAAAACTGCTCAACACATTACGGGATTTTACCAGATTATGTCAATAGTAATGAAATTATTACATTTACATATTTGTTTATTTACTTCTTAATGGACGATGTTCGATAGTGTTTATTTATTATCTTGTTTTATTTATTTTATTAAAAATCTATTTATTTAATTACCCTTTAAGTATGTGTATAGCAATTTTTTGTCAAAGGCTTCGTTATCGAAATTAATTTATATGGCTGTTAAAATTATTAAATTTTACTATTTTATTATTAAAATTTTAATTTAAAAAGTTCGCTATGTTTATTTCGAGGGAAAAATAATAATAATTTTAATACTGTAATTATGTATTAGTGATTTTATTATTGTATTTTATTAAGAAGTTATTTTCAAAAATGTTAAAAAATAAAGAAATTTTTTTTATTATAATTCCAATAATTTCTATAGTTAATTCCAATAAATAAATGAGATTGTCTCATTATTATTAACTTAGTTTCATTAACAAAATGAGTTAGTTTCAATATCGAAATTGATTAATCATTATAATAATTAAATCGTTTTAATAATAGATCTATTATATAAAACCGTATAAAATCCAATATAAAAAATACAATTGTATGTTCTTTAATTATCATAAAATAGTTATAACGTTATATACTTCAAAGTCATGTATTTTACGATCAATCTAAAGATAATTTGGACAGTGACTAAGATATCTTTTAACAGTCGATGCAATATTTTAATATGTAAAATAATTAATATGTTTATATTGTTTTCATTAGGAAAAGGGGTGTACACACACTTTTGTAGGTGAAAAACTGCTGTAATAAAGAATGATTCATTCATTCTTATTGAATAACTGATTCTAGGAAGTTTCAAATATATAAATAGAGATTATTGATCTTTTTTAGAAAAACGAAATGTTGTAATCATCCGGTGCGGTTTGCATCACTGACCTTCTGACACTCGATTTTATAATTAACAAAATATTGTGAAAAATAGTATATTTATATAATCTTTGTTTTCGATTCGTAAGAATTCAAAATATTAATTTCTTTTATTGGATTTTTACAATTTGAATAATGAGATAATAAAGAAGTCTACATAATGAAGAGAATGTTAACGCATCGCTTGCTGTCATAATTACATGTTTGAAAATTTTTGAAAATAAAAGGATATTTTTTTTTATTTAATATTATAATTAATCGTACAAAATGAAAGTTGTAATGTATACGTACCAAATAATCCGATGGCAAATGATATAAGTCCCAATGCCATAGCCTTGTCTTGAGGATCGACACATCTACAATCAATAAAAAATCGATGAAATATTTAATGATTTTTACATAAATTCGTCCGGAAAAAACTGATGTTAAATTTGCATTTAATATCTTTGAAGAAATGTTTCTATAAAACGTAAATGAAGAGATGCTATCTTAAGCTTGCTACTTTGTTTTTTTTTTTTAACTTTCATATTTTTAATTTAAACAAAGTGAAAACTTATCTTTGCTGAGACGAACATAAATTATGAATTTTGATCTTAAATAGAATCATGTGACGTTATCTATTAAAAGTTAGTTTATACTAAAAACTTTATTATGAAGGAGGTTGGTGAAATGAATGTATTGAGCAACTCTTTAAAAAAAAAAAAAAGAGGAAAAAATTACAGTTTATAAGATAAGTTACCAATTAATTTTGTTACAAAATAACAAGTTAAGATAAAGATTTGTACTAATGAAAAATTATTGTCTTGTAATTAAGTAAATCTATATCAATTTTCTATGTGAGTGACCATGGCTTCATAGAACTGTTGAGAATTAGTACTTGATAATGATTTTGGCAACAAACCAAAGGCAAAGAAATTATTTGGACAAGATTTTGTTTCAGATCAAAATCAACCTTGACCTTATCGGTTACAGTTTAGAAATTAGATCTACTTTCATCTGGAATAGGAGATAAACATAATTCGACATATTCAATCTGTAATTTTTGATAGAGATAAACTATCGAAAGTTTTTTTGATTCAATGTTCAAAGAAAGATTATAAATCAGTAGACTACACTTTACCAATTTACAGATTTATATCTAAAAGTGTTCAGCCGAAAGCAACGTATGAGAAGCAAAAAGCGTGAGTGTGTCTAATTAACAGACATGTTTAAAGATTCTAACGATTACAGATAGGGAAAATGTAGACTTTCTTATAATTATAGAGGCAATTTTTGAATAATTAGTTACTATAATGAGTAAATAAAGTAATTATTTTATTAATGTATGCTATTTTTTATATTCTAAACTTTAAAAAGAAAAAAAAAACGTTGTTTGATCAACCAACCTCAACGTAAGAAGCATAGATCCGACTTCAGATGTGGAATGTATGAGAACAAATACAGAAAATATGATGATGTACCATATAAGGTTGTCACATTTTAAAGGACAAAAACCATTTGTGGCTGTGACATTTGGACCCAGGCAGTAACATTCTCCATAATAATACTGAAAATATAAAATTGATTGTTATTGGAAAATTATATAAAATAATATTTCTGATATTCATTTCTTTGAAATTTTAATTAACTTACTTGTTCGCTGCGAACACCTTTTACCGTTGTACAACCAGCTAAACAGGGAGATAAAAAAGTTACACCATCACTGGTACAAATCGGTGCAAATTCTCCAGACCTGCATTCACAAGTAACGTTGCAAGATATCTGCTCGTTTTTTATCGTAGAGCTAAAATTTCATTTAAAAAATATTAAGATTCTAAATCAAATTACGTTTCTTCGGCATCTAATTTTTATCTTTTTCTAAATTTAAATAGTCTGATGTTATAAATAAACTCTGTATGGGAAGCAGTTTTTAACAATGCTAAGTTTAGAAAGTGAGTCGAAAGAGGAATTAGTTGATTTTACTCAAAGAAAACCTTAAAATTTTATATTTAAAACGTTGACAGTTTTATTTCGCTTGTAAATTTTATTTAAATATAACTCAAATTTATAGAAAATTTTTTATAAAATATAAAATGAGAAAGATGCATACATACCTTTCAACATTCAGTCCAACATAGCTGTTAAGAGGGCAGCCCAACCACATCAATATAAACATGCCAATTGCATAAGCAAGAGCTGCTGCAGCTATCCACCTGGCTACGAATTGTGCATTTGGTTTGAATTTTCTCATAAAAGAACCACTAGCAAAGATTCCAACACCCATAACAAGTATTCCGGCCATGCCTTGAAATAAAATACATTTTTAAAACCATGATAAGAACACGCTATAATGTTTTTTAGCACACAAAAATATAAAAAGTTATATGTAAATTTTTATTTTATATTTTTATATAAGTTACCTATAAAGATAATTTTAGTTGTTTGATATAAAAGATGAAATTTTATTATGTAGGAAGCCATTTCAAGTTTGATGAAAATAACTTCAGGCATAAAATTAAAAAGTGAAATTAAATGCCAATCTTCATCTTCTACATTTCGAAATTTTCGTAATAAATTTAAATTTATATAAAATTATATTAAATTTACAATATGTTTAAATTGTTTTATGTAAAAATTAATATAATTTAATAGTAAATATATTTTTCTACTTAACTTTTTTTTTAATTTGACGATAATGCTTATCTGCGATATTTTTTATTATAAATTTAATACTTTTTTATTATTATTATAAGTGCTAAAGTTAAATTAATATATTTAAATTTCTGTCTAAAATTTTTGTAGCGTTATATTATCGGCATATAAATGTCAAATAAATAAATTATATAAAAATAAATTTCAAGCATAGCTATAAAGTAGAGCAAATGTAACAAAATATAATTATTTTTCCCAATAAAAATAGATAATCTCGCGATTTATCTAGTAGAATTTGTTCAGGATGAGTGAAATCATCCATATTCTCAACGATATCCTTTATGTGATAGTCTGCTAGTTGTTATGTCTACACGCTTCTGATAATGATTCATATATATTGAAACATTTATGACTGATATTGATTTTATATTAGCGTAAACTTATGATACTATAATAAGGAAGATACACACATTTTGTTTAATTAGAAAGCATTTAACGTATTCAGAACATTTAAATTGTTCATGAGAATATGCAGAAATCACTCAAGGTTAGTTGAAGAAAAAATCCGTTTCTAAAGTTAAAATTAATTTTATCACAAGAATAATTACCAGATATCATGTTTGCAGTGGTGGCAGTTAATTGAAATTGGCTCTCCAGATATTTTGGGAGGAAGGTATAAAGACCTGCAATGGGTAAGATATGTAACACGCTGCTCGCTGTACGACATAACAATATATCGTTTCTCAACAATCTTCTCATAGCAGTTGGAAAATCTAAAAATAAAAACGGTCTTAAAAATATTTTAAGAGACTAATTTAATTAATGATCGAAATGATTTACCTCTCAAACTCGGTCTCTCTGCGGATTTTTTGCTAACATATGGATTAGGAGATTTGTTGCAAACATTACCATTGGCACTTCCATTAGCATGAATTGTTACTTCGTGGTGAATGTGGTGAGTCTGTGGCAGCTTTCTAGGAAAAGCCATCATTGGAAATGATGTAATTATGAGAGCTGCTCCTACAATGAAAACACCTAACCACCAAGCTCCTATCCATTGAGGATCGTTATTTGATATACCAGGGCTTTCTATAATTAAAAATTTTTATTTTAAAAATAAATATTAGAATTGAAACAATTATAAATTAAAGTTACCATTTTTTAGTTTTTCCTGTATTTTATAGTAAAATTTTCACGAAAATTTAATAGGATTTATATGAATTTTATTAATTTTTATAGACTATATTTTATATCAATATAGTAAATTCTACTTATATTAATAAATTATCAAGTTGAAATAATATTCTTTATAGATTTTTATGAGATTAAATGGTTTATACTGTTTCCGATCATAGAAATTTAATAGCGTTTTATTATTTGTACAAAGTATCAATTGCATTCTCGAGTAATTATTTAAACGAAACATCTACATTCCAAGCAATTAATATATTTATTATCTTCTAAAGTCATTAATATATTAGTTCGATACAATCTCAAAAATTTTATGATTAAATCAATTATTTAATAGAAATTAAGATTAATTATGGCATGCAGGTTTTTAATGATATCAATTTAAATATTAAAATAACAAATAAATTAACATAGCTTATAAACTTTTATATTACATAATAAAAGCCTCAAATTATCATATTTATGAGAAAATACATGTTAATATATTAATCATGAAAGTTATTATATATTATACCATATTTATCATAATAAAGATGATACTCTTCATAAATTATTTAAGTACTTTTAAATAATTCTGTATATACTCTACACGTACGCAAACATACGTATGTATACTTTAATTAGAATATAATATTTTATTATATAAAACATTGGGATAAGTTATATTAAATTATATAATATTTAAGCATTTGTTTCTTCATAATTACTGTTATTCCCTTCTGAAACTGTTTAGATTTTCATAAAAACTTCAAAAAATGTTACGTTTAATGCTGATAAATTTAATGAAAATTTAACATTCTAAAGTAAATTTCTCCAATTAGTCTGTATTATGTCAATTAGACTAAAATATTAAACATTATAATGTCTTAAGAATGTTTCATTAAGAATATGTAAAGGGCGAGCTCCCATTTGGTATCATGTATTCGAGAAATATCATCTATCAGAAGATTAAATCTTTTCTCAGTGTAAATTGGAGCCAGTGTTTATTAATTAACTAACTAAGGAGATGTTATCGTTATAACGAACAAAAGTATTTGTCTGAGACAGTTCAAGGGTGTGTCGCAGTTACATCGGTATGCGTTCCATAATAGATGTCATATCTGTAGATAGAACAACAGTTTCAGAAATTAGATATTGCGACATCGAGTGTCAATAACAAAATATCAAAGATAATTACGGATGCGTCACTTTGCCGTGTATTTATATTTACTTAGTAAACTTATTTCTGGCTTTAACTAAACTTATATAAGACTATTTACTTTGTGTTATATTAAAGAAAGTATTAGACTTACCGAAAGGGAAATTGACATAGATGCTAGTACAAAATGAACCGAGTAAGAAGCCAAAAACTGGTCCAAATATTCTTACACCAATAGTAATACCTAAATATAAAAAAATGTTTATTCAATCTGGATACCATACAAGCCAAAAATAATATTTATTAGTATTTTTATTATTTTAGATGGCAGGATATTGATTATGTTTAATCACAATAGGCCAAGGACACGCGGAGAAAAATACAGTATTCATAAACTATTATTTTATTTAATTGATTTGTAAGATAATTAAATAATCTAATTGATGTTTATATGAGTTCAATAGAGTTAGAATTAAAAATATCTTATATAAAAATTAAATATGTTTGTTTTATATATAACTAAATTAATTCATATTCAGATTTCGTTATGAGAATTTTGATATGTTAATGTTTGTAAAGAAATTGTGCACGACATGCAATTATATATCATTTCAAAGGTTAAACGTTGCATATTAAAGAGTAATGATCTCATTATAATAAACAAAATTATTTTGAATAATTTCATTCAAGTTTTAATTTAACTTTTGCTTTGAAAAGAAAAATGGGAAAGTCATAATAAAATTTATTAAGGTTAATTCAAATTTGGGTTAAACCAAAAGCAAAGCGAGGAAAAAAACCAAAATAAAATTTATCTAGGTTTATTTATGATAAATATTCATAATTCTGTGCAAATTTTATACAGGTGTTTGAGAATATTTTTATAATTTTGTCACAAATTTTCAAGGGAAATGTTAAAAATTTTGATTTGTTTAACAAAATATAAAACTTGCGGAATTAGTAAATTTTAATTAATTTCTAAAAATAGAAGAAAAAGATTCAGTTAGAAAACCAGTTTATTACAGTATTTTGATCAAAATTTTATATTTTACAGAATTGTATATTATAAAGAACAGTAATTAAATTAAAATAAATTTTTAAACTTTTTTTTTTGAAATTAAACTTACCAAAATAAAGGGGAGATTCTCTGGTAGCGACGTTATCGTCAATATAAGGAATACCTAAAGTATAAACGGTCGTTGCGCCTATTCCAATCAATAATAGACTAACGAAGAATATAGTCAAAACCGTATGTGCTAAATTACCCGCTTTATTAGAAGCTAAACATTTGTTGTTACTACTCATTTCATTTTTCGTTATTGAAACTTCATTCGAAGACGTTGTGGATACTTCACTATATTCCGTTTCAACTAACGAAAGAGTAACTAATGAATTTAAAACCGTCACAGAACTGTTATTTAAGTATGTATTATTCAAATGATAGTTCGATTCTGTGTTATTTTGCAAATGCTTCGAATTACAAAGTTTTGATTTTAATTCTAATAAATTTGCTGAACTGGAATTCTTTACATATCTGTTCTGAGTTACGTCTGCAAATAAAAAATGTGGAGTAGAACAGAGTATAGAAGCAATTGCAAATACGATCATTCCACAGGCTATCCATTTTGGGCGGTGACCTTGTCCTCCATAATAGGTTAATAGAAGTGCCCCACCGATCTGTCCAATCTCTGTCGCAGACATGATAATTCCTGTAGTTTTGCTTTGAATCTGGTACAGTTTTTCGATTGTTGTTAAAACACTGACGAAATAAGTATAATACATCCCTTGCAATACACTAGTCAAACAAAATATTGCTAGAAACGCTTTCTTATTAGCGAATCTTTGAAGCCAGTTCGGTTTGAAGGACCATAGACCACACGTATAAGAACGTCGATCGTCTAACGATTTCAATCCATCACAGTATCGATCCATTTCTTGAATGTGTAAATCACCATTTTTCTGTCCATTGGCCACTTTGTGCCCACCATTAATGAATAATCCATCCTGAATCTCCTTTATGGAGTTTGCCGGATATTTGTCATTCGACAAAGTTTGTGAATCCATAATGGAAAAGTATCTGTAAAAACAAGAATGTAAAATTATTCATAAATCATATCGATTCATTTTTTAAATATACTTGCCTTAATTGGTGTTTTTAAATAAAAAAGCTCTTAAAATAATTTACGTGCTTAATTTTTTTATGTTTAATCATCGATATTTGTCTTAATAGTCAATGGAAATGATTAAGAAACGATCCAAATTTTTGTAAGATATATTTCCAATGATATTGATTAGTTCAAGAACATGCTTGAGATAATAAAAGTGATCTTTACAATCTGCCATGGACAGATGTACAGCTACAACGGGGAAATGATCACATTAGCTAATCGAATACCATTGACCTAGTATGTCCCTTAGTTAAGACATAACCTTGAAAGATATATTAACCTTTCATCAGATAAGTGGAATTACAGTAAATAACTAAAAATCATATCTATATATATATATATATATATATGTAATAGAAAATTACATAAATTATCAGTAGTTAAGAAGTATTAAACAGAAAAGTCTGTTTATTTCATTTTGCAGTTGTTTTTATGGCAGAGAAACAAATTACTTTGTATTTAAATTTGAAACTATTTTAAGACATTGTTGTAACATTATTGACATTTTTTTATTATACAAACTCTCAGTTATTTAAAGTAGTAATTGGTATTGGGAGGGTATAAAAATACTGTATAAATATTATAAGGAAGGACCACATTGTAATCCGGGACATAAAAAGATAAATGACCTCTGCGACTAAGCCATAAGGGATAGTTTGACGAAAATTGATACAGGATGTGGTCTTTATGCCCTCAATTGATGTTCTAATTTTTATTAAAATTGGACCAGCAGTTTTTGTGTTATTTAATTAAAAACGTTACAAGTATGAAGTAATTACTCATAGAACCAGATTCCATTTTAATAAATAACATCTACTAAATATTAAAATTAATTTTTTAAAATATTAATAAAAGTTGTTTTATTTTTGGTGTTTTTTATTTTAAATTTTAAGCTGAATAAGTGTAATTTAGAATAAAACTTTCTATAAATGTATGAAAGTAGAAGTAGTAGTAATAGTAGTGCTGCGCAATTCTATAACGATCGAAAAATCTTCACAGCTTTCTTAGTAAACAGATCAAAAACAGCCACCTAGTTTTCTACTAGAACACTTTTAACAAGTATTTTTCCTTTATAATTTATATTAATCCCAACTTATCAAAGATTATCTTATAGCTTTCCTTTACTGTTTAAAAAATCTGCCCTGGATGAAACATTGACCTATTTATCCTATAAATATTTAATAAATCAATAATTTATTATCTACAGAATTGCTGCATAACTTGTTTTCCTTTTCTTAGCTTAATTTCTTTCTATATTGAAGAAAAAGAAGAAGAAGAAAATCTATTAAATAAACTCGGTGACGTATAAATCCACTTTGAAGTTAGTTTTATTTACATTGGATGAATTATGATTTGTTTATAAGATGAAAAATTAACAAAAATAGAAAGTTATGTTACAAGTTAAAACATTTTCAAAATAACATTCCTATAAATTATTATTATTTTTCTAATATAAACTAATATAACACTAGACGTTCGAAACATCGCTCTCTTAGACCAGTTGCTGAGACCTTGGCATCTATACATCTGGGGCCATGGTGAAGGACATACAAACTGAGCCGGATCAAGGTCAGCACATCCAGAACTTGGATTTATGTCGCCGCAGCACGTCCTTTTGAATACTCCAAACGAAAAACTACTCAAATAGGAAGCAACCTTGGAATTGGTCAAAGGTGGTAAAACAGTTTCCTTATGCTAACTACACAACAGTAGTATAATTCCTCCCCCTTTTCACGGTTGGCTTGCGTTCTGCATCGAAATGACTACTTATTGATTATCTAAAGCGGATATACGTTAAATATATAGCTAAACTTATCAGAAAATCAAACGTTAGAAAGAAATTAAGTAATGATTCTTCTTGAAAAAACACTTAAAAATAACATTTTGTTTTAAAGGAACGTAAATTTTAATCAGCTTTTCAAAACTCATTTGTATCAACACTCAATCTAAATAAACTAATGAAAATGTTTATAATTTCGTAAAAATTCTATTTAAATAATAAATTAAATATAATAATGTTTTCTAGAAGACAAAATACGTGTTTTTAACTAAGTTATTTCTATGAATTCAAAAATATATTATGAAATTTTTGGGTAAACATCCCTTCATTTAAATTTCTTTAAAATACATTACTTCAGACGTACTGATATGAATATAATTTAATAATATGAAGTGTTTTTAAGATTGAAAGAGTTACTTTTATTATTCTATAGCCTATATTTAGTCTGTTCTGAATAGATATTTAACTACATTAAACTAAAAGCTTGCAACGAATTGTGGGAATTAAAAAATATATAGGGCAACCGTTATTTCGCCATTAACAGATATACCCCTATTGCATATTTTTAATCATTTAATCAAATCGTTCATTTCTACCTTTGATCAGGTTTAAAATACAAAAAATAATAATGTTATAATAANATTGCCTAAGAAGTATTGCAAGATAAGCAAGAAGACGCACATCCCTCTGAAGGGCCCCACAGTTGAGGGTTAGAGACCGCTAGAAATGAGATGCGATTCTTAACGAGCTCGATGTCTTTCGGCAACATTATCCCTACCTTACTTAACTAAAATTAAAATATTTTCCCGACAAAACTTAACTAAATATAGATATATATATTAACAGTAGAAAATTTATCCATTAAAATAATTTTTATACGTTTTACGACTATAAAAAGTATAAGTAAAACGATTAATTTTGTTTAATTCTATATTACGCAATGCACTAATGATACTTTTCGTTAGCTCTTAAGTGATCAGGGATTTAAAAAAAAATAAACAATAACAGCTCTCAGATCATTGCCAATGGGCCTCAAGAGGTATTTAACCCGTTTGAAGATCAGGGCCTCATCTTGACTTTTTAAGAAAAAAAAGAAAAAGATTTCTCCCTTAGAACGATAAAGTTAAGATTGATTTGAAAAGTTGAATTTATATATTTTTAAATTGCAATCGTATTTTTAAAGGAAATATATAGCAAGCTTTCAACAGTAGTTTATATACCTACTTTAGTATATGCGATAAAAATTTCAAGTCGAAATTTAATAGGTATGAATTGAACAATCGTAAGAAAAATTATATTTGGCTTGTTGCCCATAATAGAAAGAAGAAAAGGATGTTTAACACCACAAAAGTAACCATAAATCATATTTTAAAAGTTATAAATAACTCTAATTTTTGTATAAATAAACTTACGTAACATTGAATAATTTATATATTTATACATGAATTTTTAACTTATATATAATGCTCAACTGGCATTTGAGTTTTACTGCGTAGATGCACTAAAGTCAGCGTGAAGGAATTTTTATCCTTTCCATTTTTATCATCGGGTTCACAACACTTTCATTGACACGTGTCCACTCTCAACAGGAAGCAAGTTATTTTAAAATTAATTCTCGTTTATATTAAATTCAATTTTTATATTTTTTTACCTGCTTAAAAATTGTTTATGATAGTTTAAACATAATTAGCGTCAGAAACATCGCAGCGATAGAAAAATAATTGGAAAACTATTTATAACTTTAAAAGTTTTTGCCTTAACTTAATTATTATTTAAAATATTCGCTGTTTTAATTATTACTTTTTAAAACATATTCTTTAGAATTATAAAATAAAAAAAAAATTATTTAGAAACTTAGTTACAAGCTTAAAAATTATTTTCTACTTAAAAAATTGTTTACAATAAAAAGAGAAAAAAGTTCATAACATTAAAAATCATTTAAAGTTAAGGGAAAAAAATCATTTATAATGCTAAACATTCCAAAATTCTCAAGGAGAAAAGAATTATTAATTAATTTACATTTCAACGTTTCGAAACGTAATTATTATGCTATATATTCAAAGAAAATAATAATTGTTTAATGATGATAATAAATTTCTATCTGATTTAATTTAATAATAAATAATTTCTTTCATAAATCACTTTGATGTTTCTAATAAATTTTTTAAATAATTATTTACGATTGTTAAATACACGAATAATATTAAAAATCTTAACGATTTTTGCTTCAGATCTCATTTCAATTCCGTGTAGATCTGTATTATTGATACCTTATACAAAGAAATAAACATGCAGATATATTCATTTATCTTCATCTACGATAGGCATTGAAGATATCGGTACATGAATATAAACTGTAATAAGTTATCTTCGGATGTTATAAACGAATTAAGTATATGAGCAATATCACAGCTTTTTTCTAAAACTATATATTTATATATAGCAGGGGGATATATAGCGTATTAACAGGTGTCGTTCGGGGATGTAGACATTACCTTTAGGCAAAATTTTCAAGGACAGACAAACAATAAAACTTACTTCCGAGAAAAATCTTGCATGTCAATCCCGTTAGCATATTAGTGATGTTAATTATACGTTAGGATTTAAAGATTTCACAAAAGATTTTTTTTCGTATTATTATTGTTAGTACATTTTAATAAAATGTAATTTTTGTTACCAAGTGTATTTTTAAATGAAATATTTATAATGTTTTTTACATCTTTATTTAAAAAAAAAACTAAAGATGAACGAACTTTCGTTGTGTAATATATATAAAATATTACTGAAATTTATATTTTAAAAGAAGTAATTATCTATTTTAATTAAATTTTACTGTGTAAAGTCCGTTTGATATCTTTCACTGGAGGAAAGTAATCCCTGAGAATGTTCTAGCGAATGTAGGTCAAAGTGTCTGTAGACGTTTGGAAAACGATACTGCGCTCGACATGTTTTCCTTCCCTCCTGTTCTCTGTTCACCTTTGACCCCATCTGGCAGGAAGTAATAGTGAGGGGGCAGACATGAAAATTACGGAAGAAATTTTTACAGGTGTTTGTTTAATTTAGAATACGTAATCCTTACGTAACTTCTTTAACTTTTATCGTTTTTTTATTTGTTTAAATAACAAAAAGATTATTTATTTTACTTCATTTTAACATTTTTAAGTTGATAACTCGTACAAAAATTGATTTTTCTGCATAATTTATTAATCTAAAATCACTTAAATACTCTTCATTTCTAAATGAACACATTTGTAGTAGCCTCCGGATACTAACAAAAGAAAATGATCATTAAATCATTGATGATATTCTAGCGAATTTACTTAACAAACTGTTCATCTTTTGTGTTCTGATTTTTAAATTAGGTTACCTTAATATATATATATTTCCTTTTTGAATCAACGTTTAATTAATTTATCCACTTTCAAAGGTAAAAAATGTTAATATTTATTTAATATTTCTCTTAATAGATATAAAATAAATTATTTAATAAACAATAAAATTAAAAAAAAATTATATTATAATATATAATAACTTTTTGTTTTGAATATACGTAAAACATTTGTTTGTTATCAGAAAAATTTTTTATTCCTTTTCCCAGACGAATTTTTGCAATTTTGATAAAAGAAGAAGGGTAAAATGCTGTTGTAACTTTGGTACAAATGTCAAAGAGAATTTCTAGACACATCGGTTATGACCTAAGAAGTATTGCAAGATAAGCAAGAAGACGCACATCCCTCTGAAGGGCCCCACAGTTGAGGGTTAGAGACCGCTAGAAATGAGATGCGATTCTTAACGAGCTCGATGTCTTTCGGCAACATTATCCCTACCTTACTTAACTAAAATTAAAATATTTTCCCGACAAAACTTAACTAAATATAGATATATATATTAACAGTAGAAAATTTATCCATTAAAATAATTTTTATACGTTTTACGACTATAAAAAGTATAAGTAAAACGATTAATTTTGTTTAATTCTATATTACGCAATGCACTAATGATACTTTTCGTTAGCTCTTAAGTGATCAGGGATTTAAAAAAAAATAAACAATAACAGCTCTCAGATCATTGCCAATGGGCCTCAAGAGGTATTTAACCCGTTTGAAGATCAGGGCCTCATCTTGACTTTTTAAGAAAAAAAAGAAAAAGATTTCTCCCTTAGAACGATAAAGTTAAGATTGATTTGAAAAGTTGAATTTATATATTTTTAAATTGCAATCGTATTTTTAAAGGAAATATATAGCAAGCTTTCAACAGTAGTTTATATACCTACTTTAGTATATGCGATAAAAATTTCAAGTCGAAATTTAATAGGTATGAATTGAACAATCGTAAGAAAAATTATATTTGGCTTGTTGCCCATAATAGAAAGAAGAAAAGGATGTTTAACACCACAAAAGTAACCATAAATCATATTTTAAAAGTTATAAATAACTCTAATTTTTGTATAAATAAACTTACGTAACATTGAATAATTTATATATTTATACATGAATTTTTAACTTATATATAATGCTCAACTGGCAAATAAATTAAAATTATTTAACTATTTAAAAATGTGATTAAATTTTACGTTTCAACGGAAATTACGTATTATGTATATTTAATACTAAAATAAAGCGTTAAAATTTAATTTATTCAAAAGCTGAAGCAGCGGTCTTTCATCGTAAATAATTGCATACGTCAAAACAAAGCTCTAAAATTTTCGAATTCTTGTTGTTGGAGGAAAAAGAAAACTTTATTATCGTAGATGTGGTTTTATCAATGTCAAGAAAGTTCATGCAATAGGTTAGTGATAAGACAGGAATAATTAATCATTATGAAAGATGTTAGCTTATCATCAAAATTTGTCTATGAATGCTGATGAATAGTATATACACCCCTCTTAAATTTATATTAAATAATTGAGATATTTTATTTGACAATTATATATATATATATATATATAACTTTTTCTCTCTATAGAAGTTTTATAAGTGGAATATATATATATATATATTCCACTTATAAAACTTCTATAGAAAGAAAAAGTTATGTAGTAAAGACCAACTTGAGCTTAATAATTTATTATTTTAAAGACTTATAAAACGGTAGTTATTTATTTATTATTTTTTAAAAATCTGCTTGATATTCTTAGAGCATAAGTTTTGATGAGATATCAGCTTTCAAGAATCAGTCACTCGATTCTAATACGCCGCACTGCACCAGGAAGTCGAAAATAAAAAAAGCATAGGGATGACGGATCAACATTTTGATTTACGTGCATTTTTGAAACACCGGGAATGAAAATAAACGAGTATTTTTATCCTGAAGTTAATAAATAAAAGAGGAACCCAGGTAGCTATTCAGTTGCTGATTCCTGCTGAGTTAGAATGGTTGGCAATGGAGTGAGATAAAGAGATACCCCATTACACCGTGTAAGTAGGGTGTTAAAAAGAGTAAAGAAAGTAAAATATTTTTTAAAAATACACTCACCTTAATTCGTATAATTCACCAGATGCGCAGCATCTAGTAAAACAAAAATAAATTGTATATAGTATATACTTTTATAATCTATTACAAGTCATTTATACCTATCAACTTGTATATAAATGTACGGATAATATATGTAATAAATTAGTTACGTATAAATGTTTTTACGTAATATACACTTAATCAATAGCTTATAAATGTAACACGTGACACAGTCTACTTATGTGTAATCAATTAATTTAATTTAAGCAAATGTAGGTCTGCCTATTTTCAACTAGTTGTAATAATAATAAAAACAATTTAACGAATTATATGGGAACTATTTTCTTATTATTTAGAAATAAAATTTTAAAAAACAATTTACTGCAATCTGTTTTCCATCTGTTGAATGAATTGAAAGACAGGTTGCACTTTTGGCACCAGTATATTAAAGGGATATACAACACAAAGCATATTTAAATTTAAAAGCCTTTGGTTTTAAATTTGTATTTAATTATAATTTTAATTTATTAAGTATTTTAATTAATTAAAAAATTATATAAAATACAAATTAAATTTTTGCTATTTAAAAGTTATTTAACACAACTTTATTTTCTTTTTTTCTTTCTTTTCTTTAAAACTTTATGTATATTTATATACCTGTTTTCTTTGTAAGGACTATTCTATATAAAATTTTGAAAAACTGATTGTTGAGCTTTTAATTTTTAAAAATGTCTTAAACTCAGAATGAGTGCCAAGTAAAATATGCTGAATCAGACATTTGATATTGTATTTTATGGCTTCTACTTTATCTTCTTAACTATCAAAATAGGAAAATTAGGGATGTTTCCATTTTAGTTTTAAACAAAGCGTTGTTTTAAACACAAACAAAGGGAAAAAAATCTAAATACCGTGCTAATTATTTACTTTACAGCTATTTGTTTAAGTTAAGAAATTTAAATAATATTAATTCTCTTTGTTGAGAAATCGAATTTTTTTAAAATAATTATTAATTTATATTAATAAATTAAAATGTTTACATTTTATAACTGACAAGAAATTATTTTTATGTTATTTTTATAAAGAAATTTTAATTTATTTTATGAGAAAATGAAATTTGTATTATTTAAAAGTTATAAACTAGTTTATTGCCTTAAGAAACTGAAAGTTTTAAACAATAAATAAATACTTATATACAATATATTATATAATTTAACTTAGATATATCTATTATAATGTATTTGGTATATCATAAAACAAACTACGTTCCATATATGTCAGATTTGACCTTCACCAACGTTATACAATAGAAAAATTGGATGATGTCGTATTAACTATGTCAGCATAGGAAAAGCCTACAATTCAGCATCACTACATAACCTACTTCGTTAAGGGAATCGTCTAAGCATCCAATAAATGTTTGATTTTTCTCTTTGTTGTTCGCCATTTTTTGATATTGACCTTGGAATATACCTGAATTAATAGACATTCGATTCAAGGTCTTATATGAAGCGTCAATGATTTATCAACATCCATAATTCTTTGCCTGAAGGCAATTAGGAAATAGAAAAAAAAGGTCTTTATTATTATAAATCCGACTTCCTGGTTTGGAATGATTTAATTGAAAAATTCTTCATACTTGTCCTTTATTTCTAAATTGTAAATATTTTACTTAACTGAAATTTCAATTGTTTTAAGTGAAATATTATTCTTGTTAATATTAGTAATCTTTTTATTTTGTAACTTGTTGGGACATCTAAATATCCGTATCGGTTGTGTGACAATGTCGTCATACATTACGTTTGATCGGATACTAAAACCTACGCAAGTTTTAAAATAGTATATAATTTGGTCTGAAGAAATATATAAGATATTCTGTATCTAAAACTACTTTTCCAATGAAATTGAGGATTAGTGGTTTTCTGAAACTGATCACGTCAACATGTTTACAGTAACACCTTATGCATTTATTGGTCTGTCGTCTGGAAACCTTGCAAATTGTTTATTGATTCAAGCATTCGATGATACCTGTAGAAGCATCCTTTTGTAAATCCATCATACATACACAAAATTAATAACTTACTTTAAAAAAATTGAACATCATCTTTTTAATATTGACGTATATATTTTATTCCGTATGCCTAAAATGAAATTTGAAAATTATTTACACAATTTTTATTAAGGTTTATTTCTTATATATCTTAAATTTACTTTTCGGTGAAAGCAGTTTATATTTACTTTTCATATTTTATCAAGAAGGAAGTATCATTTTGACGAAAATCTTTCGTTTAGTATTGATTTTTTTTTTGCTGAAATAATGAAACATGATCGGAATAAACAATCTAAAAGATCTCTTATGACTTAAGAAGCGTTAAACGTTTATCTGGAATAATATTCATAACATAACTTCAATGGAAGAAATTAGCAAGTTATAACCATTTTTAGAGATCTTTATGTGTTTCAATGTAGAACTAATGAAGCAATTATCGTTCTCAACTAAACTAATCCATGCTGCCAATTATACTACCATCGATTGAAATCCGTTCGAATTCCTTCTGATGGTATCTTCTTTTTTTATCCTTCCAATAACGTTTCCATGTTTATCCGTCTCTTCCAATCACCATGACAACCGCCTGGAATCTTCCTGTCTCCCATCCGACATGGGATCTTTCGTTCGATATTAATTTTATCCAATGCAAGCGAGTTCTGCACGTTCCTTTTTGTAATATTACTAAAAATCGCCTTGTAACAGGCTTCTAGCATTAATATCTGTTATAGAGTTATATGTAGATCTTATATATCTATTATGGATATATTAAGAAAGATATTTTTAAGATTTTTCTCAATGTTATATATAAAAGTGAAACTGTTCCTGAAACAATTTGGTCAAGTTTATTGACTCCGGAAGCACGACCAAGGTCATGAGTCACAAGGTCGTTGTCCTAACTGACAGGTTTTGAAGGGGGACTAAGGGATGATATAGGTGTGAATGACCTTACTCAATCTCCACCTTAGTTTTTTGGGTTTTTCCCATTTACGTGTTCGTTTCTTGAATATTAATTCAGTATTATAGTATTTGTCGTAGAAAAGGATAGCAATTTTCACTAATACGATCCTCAAAGTACAATTTATTATCGCATAATGAAGATGAAAATCAAACGTCTGACTTATAAATGTTAGAAACACGTTTTCATTATTAAGCTCCGTATTCGAAAAAAAGGCAAAAGAAAAACACTATAGTGATTCTACGTGAAGAAGATTGTGTTGGAAACAGAAACAGGTCATTGCCACACGTTTGGGGCAAATGGCCCTTCTGGCCTCATCTTTCCTAACTTGCCCAGCTGCTACTCTTCTTGTCCCCACCGTGGGAATTTTGGTGCTTAGCTTTATTCAGAACAAAGAAATTCTAAACTGAAACCTATTCAAAGCTTTAACTCGAGTTAAATATAGAAGCACCGAAAAATAATTCAAGATATTTAATAAAATATTCGATTTTAAAAGCATTTCTTTTCCTTTTTAATGAAACCGTGATATGGGTTATATATCATTTCAAATCTGAATCATAGCCATGACGACAAATGTCGATATAACTGATATTTTAAACCTGACGACGTGTTATTGATTTCGGCACACATTTTTGCTATAAGTCACGAATCTAATTTAAGTGTATGAAGCCTCAAAATAACATATAATCCTACATCAACCAAATTTAAAAGTTAATAACCTAGAAAACACGACAAATTTTCTGTATTAATAAATAAGAAGAAAGTATATTTTAGTAATAATTAACTGGTAGAATACGTAGAACCAATGAAATTTCTAAACAATGAACATTAATGTTCATTTTACTATTGCATGATACGTAATCTGTTATCATCAGAACACGTACAGTAAATTATTCTTTTTGATGTGGTTTCTCTTAGCACGAATAGAATTGGAGAGCTTCATGAATGATGGCAACTATTGTTTCCTACACCATTGTACAGAGGACAAATTCCCGCTCACATTAGACAATGCCTGTTATTAACCTGTTATAATAGTTTGCAACGGTCGGTGTAGTTTCATATTCAAGGTTAGATTTCGTTTGTCGGAAGTCAGCCTTGTACAGTACGTGATAAGAAATTGTCACCTTGAATATCGTTGGAGCAACGTAAATTCTCAGTTGTATGGGTGTATATTTATAAACAGATTCAGAAAATAAATCCATTCATTTATTTTTAATCGTTTAATAAAGCGAAGTAATGAAGTTAAAAGGTAATTATAACACTAATCGACTTTGCCTTTCAATGTTTGGTTTAATGAAACAATCTAATATGCAATGTACGGTTACATTAAATAAAAAAAAAATATTCATACATAATATTTCCTGATTTGATTATATGTTGCATCATTTACAGGTGCAATAATTAATAAAATTATAGTATAGGTAAGTTGGCAGAGGTCCAAAAAATATCGAACTTCTTGTAAGAAAGAAAATTTCGTATTAATATAAACAACATAAGAAACTCAATATATTTTTTATTAATAAAAGTGCAGTACTAATTAAGCATGGAAATTTTTATCTTTTATCGTAAATGTCTAGACATAACATCGATAATTAGTTGGAATATGTGGCACTGAATTAAAATGTTTAAGTTACATTAGGTCAGTAGGAGAGGTAGGTTGATGATGATTCAGATCTGCAATCGATAAGCGGAACTGACAAATGATTGATTGTTTGCACTTATGTTGGCGTGGCGTTTATCGGATACTACCTACGGTATAATATGTACAATCCCATTGGATTAAAACAAATAAAATCAATTTTCAAGTATTTTATTTGTTACCGGGTAAATAGAATTCTATTTTTTTAAGTGCAAAATATTGGTTAAAGGAAGCTTTACTGCAATAGTCAGGTGTTACGTAGTGAAAACAACAACACAGGAAATGACACGAATTTTAAGGCGTTGTTAATGCATAATTTTGTGTATTTTTTTAGCAAAGAATCTTGCACGAAAGTAATTTACGTAATGAGATATTTACAAAATAAAATTATTAAACAGTTTATAATTCTATAT